AGTGACATAAAGCAACCACTACAGATTACGTCATGGATTCTGTGAGTCGGGCATTCACACAAGGTACCATGGGGATGGTGTCTGTCTACTCCACAATGTCTAAAGTGTCAGCTGAGAAGACCTGAAGAGCTGGGGTGACCCAAATACCTCAAATGCTGGGACTACCAATGGGACCAAAGGTCCTATTACTAAGATGGGTGGCTCCTTCACACACACTGTGGTACCTGGGTTGGGATGACTCCAAGACTGAAACTGTTGCTTAGAGAACCACTGTGTGGCTTCTTCATGTAGCTGAGGCTTCTCAGAGCATGGTGCCTGGGTTTTAAGAGAGAGTTTCCAAGAAGAAGCAATATTCAAACATAACCAGGTGAAGTGGCATGACTATTTATGACTAAGACTCTTAGGTCACATAGTATCACTTCTGACTTTGTTGGTAGAAGCAATCAAGAAATGGTGACACAGACACCACTACTTGATAGGAGGAATCTCAAAGAATTTAAGGAGCATTAAAAATACAAACAAGCATGCATGCATAATGATCTTAATTAATACATCTCTCTTCCCTTTTCTGTATTCAGGCTCATTATTCTAGTTCCTCCTTCCATTCAGTCCTTACTCTGATGCCTCCAAAGCTTACCTACCCAGGAAGCTCTCTTTGACCTTCCTTATTTTACTCAGAAATCCATTTTAATCCTTTGTAAAAGGCAAAAATTTGATTTACATTAAAGATAAACAAGATTTATCCTTATTAATCATTGTCTCCTTGACGCTGGTAATGGTTACATCTAGTATAATCTTAGGCACATCTATGCATCACACAGCCATAGATGTTGAAAGCTGAAAGGGATGTGAGGAATTATTAGTTGATATTCTTAATTTTACAGATTCAGTTCAAAAGACCTTTATTAAATTTAACTCTATGCCAGACATGTGTTAAGTACAGAGGATACAAAGTTGAAGTAATTGTACAAAGTTGAGCAAAGTGTATAGAATTTTTATAAAAGAAATTTTTAATCCAGGGAAACATTTCCTAAAGCATCTTCTCAAAAGTTGGGTTCCACAGATATTAAGTATTTAATGAAGAAAAAGTTATGTTATAAAATACTTGAGAAATGCAGGGTTCAATAAAAATAAACATGCTTTTTATTGTAAGATTTTTAGGACCCTTTATGTGCATCTGTTAACCTTGAACAAATGTTTGTCAAGAGGTCATTGGATGAACATGCACTGTGCATCTCCAAGGTGAATTTCTCTGACCTTATTACTCCTTTCCTTCAAACTTGCACCAGACCTGTATTACCGTAGAAAACTCTAAATCCCCCATTCATTAGATTGGGCCTTAAATGCTGCCTGCCAGAAGCATACCTCTTTTTGGCAATCAAGAATAAGACTAGTTACCATTTGCCAAGGAACTTCCTTTGGCAAGGTCCTATGTTAAAATATTCTCAATACTTTATATTAGGTTGAACCACATCAGGTTACCATTTTTGCAGGTCAAAGCACTTAAATATTGGCAATTGTGTGCTTCCACCTAATATCACTTAATCTTTATAATGCTTCTATTAGTTAAAACTTAGCTGAGCCAGAACAAGGCACACGGGCACTGTGACAGCTGAATAACTGTGTTCTTTCAAATAGAACATCCTTCAGTCTCTAGCACTTACAGAGAGACTGAGTCTGGTATGCAGGAGTAGACAAAGGGGATTCCTGTCCGCCATGCCAGCTATTCCTCTATTTCACAGAACAATTAAACTCTGGCCTAAAATTTCGTTAAGTACTCTGCCCAAACAAAGTCTTACATTAATCAGACACCCTTGTCCTTAGAAGGTAGTTTAACAAGTATTTATTGTTACTTAATACTGCCCTCCCCCTATGAGCAATTGATTGAAATATTTCTTCTAGCCACGTATTTTACTCTTTGTGGAAGAAGTTCTGGAAAATACTATTTCATCCTACTTGATTTCATTTTCAATGATGTTTTGATGCAGCATGTATAGCTGCTTGGAAGACTTGATAGATCACCTGGTTCTGGGTATATTCTCCCCATTTTTCAGATGAGGAGCTCAGGGTTCAAACAGGTTAATGAACTTGTTAAAGGTCACACCAACAGTATGTGCTAGCACTGGGATTTGAACTCTAATCTGGATGACTCCACATTCAGTTGTCTTAATCACTGCAGGGTTCAGCTCTGGCTGCTCTCAGGCATAGTTTCCATAGGTAAGTTGGCAAAAACATGGTGCTGAAGAGCATGGCCAGCGTGGACTTGGATCTTCTTTGCCACTTACTAGTTGTGTATAAAGGGGTAAATAACCTCTCTGTTTCAGTTTCCTCATTTGTAAAATGGAGATAAAGGTGTTGTGAAGATTCAATGACTTGAAAACACTAGCTATTACTATCATTTATATTCCCTAGACCCATACAGCTAATTTCTATCTTTCTTTCCCCTGCCACTGGCTTGTGTTGTGTATGTCCTGGGTTTGAATTTACTTAATTTGGAGCCAGCCTGCTTAAGAGCCCACAGAATATGTGTTCACATCCCCCTTTCCAACTGGAACTGATTCCCAGCAATTCTAAATGGCCAATATTAGGGGATTAGATGGCACAAATTAAACAGTCACAAATAATCCCCAAGTGTCAGATATTTAGATTGTGCCAAACTTTTACAGTTATAAACACAAAGAGCAGAGACAATTTGAGGAAAATGAAATAGAAAATTTAAAACACCAGGAGACTGAATATATAAACAGACAATGGCCAAGCCCCACATGACAAGAGGACTCTGACCTACAAGTTCTGCAGTGAGCAGCCTGGGAAGGTGAACCGTATGTCTGCAGCAATCTGCCCAGGACTTGGTCAATGACCACCAGCTTCCCGACTCGGTGCCCCACTTCCAGCTCAGAACCAATCAGAGAAAGCCAAATATGTTCCCCAAACTGATCACACAAAATGCCTTCCTTCTATTTAGCCTGACTGCAGCTTCCCCAGGCCAACAGCCTCCAGTTAAAGCACACCTGAAGCCTTATCTTTTTTGTCCTGCTAAAAAAGACTTCCTACCATCCTGCCTGGCTTTGAGTCTTTACCAAATGCAAATGATGGATACTAACTCCTTGCTATCACAAGCTCTGAATAAATAGCCTTGGCCTGTTCTCATTTTGATAGTCTTTGTTTATTTCCACAGTTGCTCTGGTGGTGCCACTGAGATATAGCCTACGCTACCATGGATCACAGCCCTTGACCAGGTGTGGCAGCCACAGAGGCCCCTTGTGCCTCACTGCTCACAGCTCACAGAGTCAATACCCAGTGGCAAGGGAGCACTGGGTCTAAACTCTCTTCTCTTGTTCAGTTTCCTGGCTATCTATTCTTAGGTTAGTCACCTGCTTTTGTTACTAGTTCCTATTTGTTCAGCATCCTTTGTGGAATCAGGCCAATCCTTTTCATCCCTTTTGTTCTCCTTCGTGCTATTGCAGAGGCCCTGGGAGCCCTGTAGTTGGAGCCACCCTCAGATACTGGTGAATTTGCTGTTCTCACCAGAGCAGGATCTATGCAAACTTCGCTGTGGGTCATTAATGAAACTGGATAAGGTTCTGCTTCCGTCCAGACTTTGTCCTAAGAGCTTAGCTTTGATCCAGACAGTTTGCTCTGTTTTGCTTCCTCCCGAGTGGTACTGTCTGCATTTGGAGCCAACTGACTCTCCTGTTGGGGTCCCAAGACACAAAATGCATAAGCATCACTTTTGACTGGCTATTGACAGCCCTCCTGGGGGCGTTTAAGTATAAGTCCTCTCCAAGTCTCTGAAGAAACTCGTATCTTATATATTCTCATTAGAATTCCACTTCTTTTCACTTATTTCCTTAAATGGCATAACTTATACAGGATGATTGGGGCTTTCAGTGGCCACTCTAGGGAAGGATGAACTTGAATAAAATTGTTCATTTTAGAGATGTTTTGGAAAATAAAAGGAATTAAGATGTCTTAGGCCCAGTGGGGAGCATTTTGTTTGTTTGATTGGGATCCCAAGGCCTTCAAAGAAAATTCTGATTGAAAGAATTGCTTTATTGAAAAAATGTTTTGGACAAGGATAATGAGTAATTTGACAAACCTAAGTAACAGTATATTATACTCATTTTCCCTAACAAGCCATCCCCTTCCTTGTCTTCCAGTTGTCCTCACATGTCCAGCTCTCCTCTTTATTATTCATATCTGTCTTCTTCTGAACCTCTGTTGACTCTTCTCACATCTTCATCTGAACGAGGTGCCCTACCTTTTCCCAAGGATTATCTCAAAGACCTCAAACTGTCAATTACCTCTAACCACCCATCTTGCCAATGAGCCAGACTTGCAGGCTACAGTCGAACTAGAGCTATGAACCCAATCTGAATGAACAGCTATAGTTAAGGATTTCTCTAAACCCAGACATGGTTAGCAATTATTTGTGGAGGAATTTAAAATTGTTTTGAGTACATTCAGTCCAGGGCTACCTGACTTATATCAACTTTAACACGTTGGTTGGAACCTTAGGAGCTAAATCCTGGTTGGCAAAGGAATTTTACTGACCCAGAAAGAGGCCTATAAGATCTTTTATCAGCAATAAACCTGAGGGTAAAGAAATGCCTGGGAAGTAGGGTATAGTCTCCTAGAAGTCATACCTTAAACATTTCCAGTAATATTGATTGGATCATTATTTAGTCATGCAAACAGAGAAAAGATGACAATATAGGAGATTTTGGAATAGACCATGAAGTAACTTCTGATAATATATGTGAATTAAAGAAGGCCCTGACATAGAGCAGCCCTTTCATTGGAGACCTATAAGAAAACAGAAATTAGAATGGGAAATAGTCCTGAACTGTAACACCTGGTAGGGCATTTTGAAAGGGCTCAAGAACAAAGTGTGACAGGACCCCAAATAAATGTATGATCCTGCAGATCAAACAGATCAGCCTATTGACAATGATGCCTATAGAAATTGTAAACACCAGGAACAATGGGAAAAAGATCATTCCATCTTAGAAAAGAAAAAGCAGGACAAACAATATAGAGAAGATTAGCCTGGCCCCTGTAACAAGGATGACACACAAATTCATGAAGTGTGTTCCATAGTTTTTAACTATACATGTTGTGGTGAGCATTTTGTAATGTATATAACTGTTGAATCACTGCTGTACACCTGAGCCTAATATAATACTGTACATCAACTATACTTCAATAAAAAAATAAAAATTCAAAAAAAAAGAACAAACCAAGACAAAGTGAAGTTCCTCAGTTCAGATCCATGAAGGTGCTCCAAGGAATGAAAAACTACCTAATATTCTGCCTTCGTCTTCAACATGAAAGGCAAATTAACTATAAATATAAAAGCCAACATCAGCAACTGCAGGCAAATATGCATGCTGTTCTTTCTACATTAAACTCTGCCACCTTTGATCAACCTCTTCCTTGGAGTAAACAACAACACAGGTAGTAGGTATTTCAAATAAATCACAGGTTCCCTATCTCCTAGCCCTTAACTAAAACTCTTAGACCCTAAGCTCAAAAACACTCCATTCTGCTCTGTGGTACTATCCTTGTAAGTTTGGCAAGAAGAAGTAAAAACAAGTTTACTTTGCAAGTGAAATTGTAATAGGAAATACACACCAGAGGGACAATTTCTTGAGGTTCCAGAGGTCTCCACCTTTCATTATCATGTTTATTTGCTTTCGGTATATCTTCATCCTCTCCATTATAATTGATGTATATCCCACATAAAGATTTTGACAGTCTATGAATTAAAAATTCAACTGACACAGGAAAAATAATTGGTACAGAGCCTATTAAAGTTCAGATAGATCTTACCAAACTGTTACCCAAACTTCCCCAACATCCCTTGAACCCAGAGCAAAGGAAGGACTCAAACCTATAGTTTAAGTCTTTTTATCCAAAGGCTTTCTGATAGTGTGAACTAAGTATTGTAACATTCTGTGTTTCCAGTAAGGCAGCCAAATAGATGAAGATACTGGCTTTTCAAGTTCTCAGGGACATCAACAAAATTGTAATTCCATGATTTTTGGTAATACCTAACTCAATTATCACACACTTTATGTGAATCATTATTTTAAAAAAAACTCTGACAGGTGTTATTAAAAACTCAAAACTACACTGCCCTTAGCATATAAATCTTCTGGAAAGATTAAATAAGCAATGACATCCTTAGATTAATAATCCTTAAGTAGATAATTAGCATAATTATAACAACTTTCAGTAGATGTTGGCCAAAGGTACTTCTGCTAGCCCTTAGGGTCATTCAGTCTGTTCCCGTGAGGACGCATCAATCATCTTAGTAACAGCAAGTGGAAGGCCCATGAATTTAGGGATTTCACTTCTGATATTAGTCTCTGCCCTGTTGCATGAAGATGTGGCAAAGTGGTACAAGGGACTCATGTGTTATTCCTAGTTATTTCACCAGTAGTTTAAAGCCTCCTTCCCACATTTACCTAAACAGTGATTTTTAACTAGGATATTTCATCTACTGGGAGAGAGACAGCAGAAAAACTGCTCTTGAGCTTCATCAGAACATACTTAAACAGTAAATACAGTGCTGAAACTCCAGGTCATTAATCCTTTAGTTTCACAACTAAAGAAGCAATGCAGAATTCCACACCATTGGAAGGCTACCCAAAAACCTCCAAAAGGATTTTCCTGGACCCTCTAGAAACAGCTGATCTTTGGAAGTAGACATCTGATGGAAGACTTTCAGAAAATCTAATGACCTTAGGCAATGGACAGGTACCACCTAAGATGTTGGACCAATATTTATGTATATTTCCTGTTTTGTTTTTTATCTAATTGCTTATCATCACTTACCTTCTCATTTTCTATAGAGTCTTGATTAATGTCCACTTAAAATGGCTCCTTTTCTCTTTCCATTACTCTTTATGATAATTGTTAGGTCAGAACATACTCAAACACCATTTTTCAATTACCCCAAACAAAGCTCTGCCTCCTACCTTAAACAATTATGAATATGCCATCCATCATCATACTGCCATGATAAAAACCTTAGAGCAATTGTGGTCTCTTCAAACAAGACCATAAGGAATTGCAGGTGATTGCATTTCCTTTTGCACCTACATGGACAAATGTCTTTAAATAAATCAATGGATGGTTTTACTAGTGTCCCTCTTTCCTAGAAAAAGAGTAAATTATTACAATTTACTGTAACATATCAGAATTTGGATAATATGATTTTGAATTCTACAACATTAACACAGTCAAATACTTGCAACTAGGAGAGACTAATAAATATACAAATATGTAATCCAGCTAAAGTAAGGCCTTGGTTATGACCTTTTTTCCCTGAACAACTTTTTTCCCTGAATGTCCATGTATCCCTACTATGTACCTGAGGCCAGGACATCCTGAATTTCTTTGCCTCAAACTAATATCTCATGCCCATTAGGAGTAGTATTCTGAGACTTATCAATACACAGGGACCCTAAATCTATAAATCATCAAAGCTAGAAATTGCAACTCTGATGTGAGTTCTACATGGAGCTCATTCTTGATTATACAGGCTTTTGACTTGGGGAAATTAGTTATTCATTATTTATGTGAACAATACAAGTAACATTTCCAAAGGTGAGAATCATACAAATAGAAAAGTCTCAGAAAGATACTAACTCTAGAAGTTATTAATAGTATCATTCTTGTCCTAGATAGAATACAGATTGGTCTCAACTTGTTGGCATGATTAGTAATGGACAATTGCATTGCTCTAGATTTTTCCAGTCATGGTGGTACATATGTCATTGTGAATAGTCTTTGCTCCCTTAGATCAATGGAACAGTAAAGGTAAAGCAGGCTATACTTAACCCTGAAGAAAAAGTGACTTCTCACTTCTGTCAGTCCTCACAGTCTATGGGATTTGTTTCTCTTTGCCTGGATTGGGCAATTGGAATTCCTGGTTCTAACCATCTTAAAGGGACTATTAATTGTTTTTGTTGTTGTAATAGAAGTTATAAAGCTGGTCCATTGCATTTTGCACAGAGCTGTAAGAGCTTCTGTGCAGGGACTCATCAAATGAGCACCATAACAATATGACAATAAAAAGGACAAAAAGATCTTGTGTTGCAGTTGACTCTAGAGAAAACTAGACGATCCTGCATCAGGAAGATCTGGATCTCTTGTCTTCCTTGAGTTAATCAATGGCGTGCAGGTTACAGAATGATCAAAAAGAGGACCAAGGGACTGAATATACAAATGCGCAAGGCCAGATCATATATGACAATAGGACCTGACCCAAAGCTGTAAACATTTGTACTTGGAAGCTTAGATCAGGGATCAGCAAAATTTTTCTGTGAAGGGCCAGATATTAAATATTTTAGACTTTGTGGGCCATACAGCCTCTGTAGCAACTAAAGCACTCATATGCAATAGTAAACATGTGGACATGGCTGCATTACAATAAACCTTTATTTGTAAAATTAGGTGGTGGGCTCATTTGGATGGCTGACTGTATTTACTGATTCTTGGTTTACTTCTTTGTAAGTGAGAAATCTTCCCCTTTCTTTAATAAGAGGAGAACAAGGAAGGAAGTTAACAATGATTGAGTTCATACCATGAACTAAACACTGTATTCAGAGCTTTTATATCCATCGTATCATTTAACCCCACAATTTTATCTATGCTAAAGAAAAGAAAATGGCATTTTAGAAAGTTGAAATAGATTGTCCACAATGACATGGCTTGTGGGAAGCAGAACCCCCTGACTCCAAAGGGCTCTTTCTTCCCCTTCACCTCGGCTTCCTTTATTTCCCCCACATGCTTCTGCAGAATCTCTGGCCATGCTTGCTTCTGACTCTATGGTAACAACAACAAAAGAAATAACAATAGCAGTAAAACTTCATTGAGTGATGTATTTATGATACATATATGCTAACTTATATTAAATAAAAATACATTTAATCTCCACAAAAATCCCATTAAGTCTATTTCCCCTGTTTCACTGATAGGAAACACCAACTTCACAAAACTAGACATTGGCAAGTTCAGCAAAGTACCCCCATTTCCCAACTCCTAATGTCATAACTAGGACTTTGTTTCCTGGTCAACATTTGTTTAATTAACACAGGGGAACATTTTATTCTCTCTGGACCTCTTCAAGTACAGCTGCCAAGTCAGTTCTGACCAACAGAAGTAGATGAGACTGGATTAACATTTTTGGAGGGAATATCAAGTTCAGTGCAATGAAATCCTGTTCAAGCAATATGAATTGGTGTCCAGGAAATAGCAGCAACTCTGGTGCTTTGTCAACAACTTGGCAATCAGGCTGAAGGCCACCTGGATTCCTCTTTAAGGAGTTCCCCAAATGAAAATCAGCTTCTCAGAACATCTGACCCTTAGATCACCCAAAGTTCTGGGCAGGAAGAAGCCACTGTTTTTGGCTGACATTTCCCAAAATACAAATGCAGTTTCTCAAGGGTAGGAAATCATTTTATTTTCTTAAGCTGTCTACTGAAGGAGAGAGAATTCAGGATCTTCCTGATGCTACTGTGAACTCTTCAGACTTTTACTTTTGCCACATTATTTTGGGTGGTTTTCTGGTTTGACCTGAGGTGAGCTTCTGAGGAGAAGTGGGCCTGCCTCCCAGTCTCTCCCTGGGCCTCCCCTCCCATTTGGTTGCCTGTGCTAACAGAATGTTCGCGGCTGCAGAGCAGGCTTGGGGTGAAACTTTCAGTGGGACTGGTCTAATAAGGAACGTGCTGTGTGAGCCCAACACTGCTTGACTCTGTCAGGACCTGCCCTTGTATCCTCAGATGCTGAAATGCCACTAAGAGAGGCAAAGAAAGGAGAGGAGACCAGGGCAGGGAGAGGAAGGGAGGGAAGAGAAGGGAAGAGAAGAGACATATCTACTGCTTATGTCTGTAGGTGCTGGTTCATACCTGTACCTTAGATACAAATGAGCCTTTGAAAGCAAGTATCTAGAATTTCTGCCTGTATAAGAAGATGCCAATTTATCCTCCAATAAGATCCATGCTGAGTAGCCAACAAAATGACTGATGTCCATGACAGTCTCCTGCCCAAAGTCTTGGCCTCACAGACTCTTGGTTTCCAAGGAACCCTATAGCA